GGGCCCCGCTCACCTGGGGCGTAGGCTGGACCCCCGGGGGTCGCAGGCGGACTAGCGCAGCCCCTCCAGGCTGCCCGCGTGGGGCCGTGCGCAGCGCGAGGCGGACGCCAGCGCTGTGTTCGCCCCTCTGCTCGCACGCTGAGCCGCCGCGACCACCTGCCCAGGCCCCGACCTCGCGCGGCCCAGGCCCACGCAGCCGCGCGTGTGCGCGACGCGCTGGCCGTTGACCGTGGCGCTCCGGCCCCTCTACGTCCGAGCGGGGACTCGGAGACCGCGGCGACCAGAAACTGCGTTTCACATTTGGGAGAGTGGAGTTGGGGGGAAACCAGCTCTGACCCTTAGGTCAGTTCATCCCCCCCACGCCGGGGCCGCACGGTCCCCGCTGTCGCACCAGTATGTACTGCGAAACGGCGGTGGCTCGGGGGGGTCCCCGCGGTCCCCCTTCGCCCAGGTCGCTCCAGGTTAGGCCATGACAGGAAAAGTCTTGAAGCACAGGGCAGTACCCCCCAACACACACAGCGGACACTGCTTCTCCAGAAGGACCCCAGAAACTCCCCGTGGTTCAGACACCTCGGTTTCTACTGCTTAGGGTGCCCAAGGTTAGGAAATGTTCATTCCAAACAGAAAAAGTGGCCCCAGTGCATAGAAATGCTAAAATGCGAACTAGAAAACAAATTCTCTGTTTAATTTCCTTCTTCGCAGAAACCTGGCCCAAGCACCCATTTTTCGATCATCATCTTTGATTGATCACACAGCGCGAGTTTGAGTTTCCAGTAGGGAAACTGTACTTCTACTCTCCCGCACTTCATTTAACGTGTGATTAGTTACAACAAATCCCCAAATTCCTTAATCTTGAAAATTATATGTAAATAAAAATCTGTATGGGATACAAAATAAAACATGTAAGTGGAAAATAATTGCTTTTCAACTGAGTTCGAGGGTTTAGCGCTGATCAGAAAAGTGGACTCAGCGTTTTCGAAGGGAGTGGGAATGAAAGTCCCCCGAATTTAGAGAGCACATGTGTCCCCAGGTCTTGCGTTGGGGCCAGAGGCCTTTTCATCGAGGGGAGGCTCCCAAGGTCTGGAAGGGGGTTCGCTCCGCTTCCCCAGCGCAGCTTGGACTCGCTGGAGAGGCAGGAAGCAGGTGGGTGGGAGCGAGCGGGCGTCGGAAGGAGCGTCGCGACCTCCGGCCGAGAGGTTGTGACGCGTCGCCGGGCAGGCACTGCGGACGTCGGGTGGCCGCGGGCTGCCTCCGTGTGGGGCTCCCGAGCTGGCGCGCGCCGTCGGCCCGCGGCCGCGCTGCAGCTCCGACCGCAACGCCCGGTAGAGGGCAGCTGCGCCCCGACACTCGGGTCCTCGGGTCCGGGCGCACGTGCCCACCCGCGCGCACGAGCCTCTGCGTCTAGCCACGCCCTGTCCCGGAGCTAGGTTCCTGGCGGGAAGGGGCATTGCCACCGTAAGTCATTACCATACTGAACAGTGCCACTTGCAACTATTCTCCTCTTTTCCCAAACTTGGGGACAATCTGCCCTCCCCTTGTGTGTGTGCGGTGGCAGACAGGGAGACCCAGGAGTTGCCCTTAAAGTGGCTAGACAAATAAAATGTGCAGGGGCTTTAAAAAAAAAAAAAAAATTCCTCCCGTGGGGAAGGATCGGGGAAATGGTTTGGATTTGGTACAGATGTTCTCAATCTAATTATCGTGTCTATCCCCTGGGTTTGAACCAAAAAAAAAGTGAAATATATATGACCTGTGTAATAATCCAAAAGTACATCTGGTTGGAATTCAGGGTTCTGAATCCATGGTAATATTTTAGAAATAAAGTTGATGAGTATTAAATACTCTTGTTACATTCCTGGTTATATTTATATTATTTACATGTTAACCTGACTTAGTAGAGAAACACTACATTGGGTGACCCAGAGGTTAAGCTCTGTTTAAATAAATTTTAAACTTCTACCAGAGTTTGGGGTTACACAAGCCTTATTGCTCTCTCCAGGAGGGGAAAGAAGTTAAGGATGACTTTGCTCATAACACAAAATGTTACCAATTTGAAAGGAAAATCATTCAAGATAAACCACTTACCTAAAATCATCTTGGTTGAGTGAGCTAATCCTAAAAGACCTTTAAAAAAATGGGGGGGGGGGCTGGTGTTGTGGCTCCGTGGTAGAGTGCTTATCTAGCACGTGTGAGGCACTGGGTTCAATTCTCAGCACCACATGTAAATAAATGAATAAAACAAAGGTCCATCAACATCTAAAAAAAATTTTTTAACTTTTTAAAGTACATTTTATTTTTTTTGAGCAAGTACAGACATAGTGTAAGAGTAAATTAAATCTATTTGTAAAGACTATTTCCCCACACACACACAATACAGTAAAGGCTCAGGAGGACCTACTAGGATCCTAAGAGAAGGATCTTAGTAGGATCCTTCTTAGAGAAGGATTTACAAAGCTGTGTATTGTGTAAACTATTAAGAAAAGAGGAAGGTTTTAGGACCTAGGTATCCTCTGTCACCCACAAAGATAACAACACAATAATGGCTGTGACCTCCCAGAACACAGTGTGAGAAAGAGATAGATCAGCAAGAGAACTGGCCCAGAACCAAAAAGCACCTTGACATGTAATTGATATTACTTAGCACGAAGCACAAGAAAAACAATCCAGAGGCATTTGGTCACTTTTTAATGTTCTGGCTCTCCCTTTAGGGGAAGAAAGCTCACAGTTCCCAAGTACATGACTAATTCCCCAGCCTGAGCTTTCAAGATTAAGCCCCCAGTAATCAGATGGGAGGATTCACCCAAATGACGTTTGTTCCTGACACCTTCAAATGAAATATAGCTTAGCATCAAATAAGGTAACTAAATGACTAATGCATGGGCTCAGACCTCCTAAATTTCTTTTGTGACCCATTTTATTTTACCTTAAAAAGAAAACTGAGTGACCATGCTGAAGAGATGATACTACTAATATAACGTGCAGAAAACTGCAGTATCTTCTAGGGTTCACTGTTCCCTAACCTCATTGCATTTGGTGGGTTCTCCTCCTTCCTGATACCTACATACAGTTTATTAAATTCATTTAGATGAAAATCAGCAAATTCTCCAAAATGACCACATGGGTTGATTATCACTAAACTCATCCAGCTTCAATAGCCCCAAGAAATAAAAATACATTGAGTTTTTTTTCCAAAAACTCAAACTTAGTAATTGTTCGGATATTCTTGACCTAATTCCTTGAAGGAATTAACCACCAAGAAATTGTTCCAAACTGAAGAATGTCTTACACTGTAGGGTATTATTTAAAAAAAAAAAAAAGCCATACTCTTTATCCCTCACACATACAAAAGAAGTCTTTATGTTCTGATATCTTATTTATTATGACCCATAAAAGTTACACTTTCCCTAGAAACCTTATCCCCAGGAAAAGTTGGGGGAAAATCTAGAGTTTTTAACCAAACTCCCCAAAAAAGTGAAAATAATTCAGGAAATCATCTATCCTATGTGATATGCTTCAAAGGAAATATCAAGCAATCTACCCTAAAACCTTCATTCATAGTCTAAATAGTTTTTGCATCCAAATGAGACTTGGTTTCAAATAGTTTTCAACAAGAAATAGTGCCGATAACCAGCAACAATACATAGTGCCAAAATCGACCTCATAAAATTTATTCACAAATAATCATAAATCATAATGACATGACAATTCAGGACAGAAAGGAATCGTAGTCCTAATAAATTGTATGGAGAATCTCAGTTTTACAGAACAGAAGTTCAAAACCATATGGAGATACTCATCTGAGAGCTGGGGCTGTAGCTCAGTGGTAGAGCACTTGCCTAGCATGAGTGAGGCACTGGGTTCGATTCTCAGCACCACATAAAGATAAATAAATTAAAATAAAGGTATGGTACCCATCTACAACTTAAAAAATTTAAAAATAAAGATACTCCTTCGAGGTTCCTGAGTTTGTAAAACAGTCTGTTCGGCTTTAGATATTCTATTCCGGAATATCTAAAGCCTGACAGAAGTTTCGAGACACTTTAAATGTGAGAAGGCCTTTTCCTTAAATCAAAAGATTATACCCAACAGAGGAAAATTGCCCTCCTTTTTGTCTTTGGCGACTGCTTTCAGAATGGTTTGGCATCAACTACTGGAATAAATAAAAGGAAGATTCCAGATTCTTTTATTTTTTTGGAGCCCAAGAAAACCAAACTACTTTTAATTGTTTTGTTTTTTAAATAATACTTTATGTTAATTATTTCTAAGTACACTATTCACCGTGCTATGTAAATACCCACCAAATAAAAGTACCCATTTGGCTACATGTAATTACACGCATAGTACATAATTCATCTCTATCCGCCAAATGTACGTGTAGTTATATAATTGTACCAAGAACCTGCCAAACTTGTAAGCGGCGACTGTAATGATTTCTAAATAGCAGACTCTCATATTCACCACCTTCTCCGCCTGTCTCTGGTGAGAGCCTTTCTCAGTCTCCAAGACCCTTTATGAAATCTTCAAAGACTTCTTTCCTGCCCCCCTCCCATTTTAACCCTGTCTTTCCCTTCTAGACAGTATATGTCGATGACACCCTCTCCGGGTGTCTTTCTGCACCTCTAATGATTACATTCTGTTCTCTGCTGGCCTTAAACAACAACAACAACAAAAGCATACATCTTCATCTTTCAGCTGGACGTGGCTTCCATTTGGAATATTCATCCTGTGGCTTTGGGACTTCCAAGTTCCTAGAGGGGACCTCTTTCTCTTTACCGCGCAAGCTTCCAAACCCCCACCTCGCCAGCCACTAATTCCCTGGCTCCAATCTCTTTTTATCAAACTTCTATCCATTTTCTTGGTATCGACAGTTTATTAGGAAAAATTCCATCTCCGTTTCCTCTTTTTACCCCCTTCTCATGAGATGGGCCACAAATATGTCATATTTGATATTTCCTGTCTGCTTTTGAAATGAAGGCCATCCTCTATGACTCCCACTGATGTCATCGCTAAATCACTAGAAATTAATAGTGTGCCTAGTAGCTTGAAAGGGCTTGAAATACGTAAAACACTGTATAAATATTATTATTATCTTGCTTAATGTAAAGTTCAAGCTCTGGGCTAAGACCTTATATTAACTCCTTTTCTTTCCTTCTGGGAGACCAGGGCCTTGTGCTTTCTATTTATAAGGAGCTTTCATTATTAATATTACTCTGACAATATCAGTTTGCCATTCAATATTTTGAACGTACAATGATGTCCCTGGTGCTGGGACATATACAGCGTAGACCCGAGGTGGGTTTTTTTTTTAGTTGTATCCGCAGTACAAAGGACAGCATTGTTCCATTTCTTCCACAAGGTTCTGGATGACACATCTCTGAATTTATACAGTTGGAGTTGAATGAAGATTTGTTTTCATGAAATGTAATTAGATTTTCTTTTGTCATAAGCACTGTCAGATTGTATATTATTTTTTTCCTGGGTAAGTGTGGTTGGTAAGATTTTCGAAAGCTTGTTCCAATGGAAAATAGGAAAGCTGATATTTCTCGCAGTGAATAGAAAACTTTTTTTCGTTCCCTCAAGCTCTGTTCACATTAAATATTTGATCTAGTGTCAGGTTTTTTTTTTTTTTTTTTTTTTGAGAGTCTGTATTATAATGTCTTTAGAGGTTTAAGTAGCTAGCTTGAACCCGGGCAGAATCTCAGAGGATGTCAACATTTGGGTTTTCTGGGGGAGAGATGTGGATGGTAAAAGAAGGAAGCCAGGAAAGTGGGGGCCTCTAATTTAGCAACCATATTTTTTCTTATGAAAACAGGCACATGCACACAGACGCTCTGAAAAAAGCATAAATGATCTGAAAAGCATCAATGTTAAAAAATAAAATAAAATGCAAATCTTCCCATCGTAAATATATTCCTGG